TTTAAAAAATAAAAACAATTGATTTGAAAAAAAATTACATACCTCTCCATTTTCCTTCTGTAATTTTGATTTTATGGATAAGCAACAATTAATATCATTTGTTTTTCTTAATTCTGAAAGAAAGTTATAATTAAACAATCATTTTAGCTTTCAGTTCCTACTTAGGAAATATTAGTGACTTCCAGTAGAAAAACATCCCTTACATGACATTCTTCTTTGTGAGAGAATTAATGTTTTGAGATTTTATCACAGTAGACGCTTGGAAAATTCACCAGCTTATCTGATTTCTCATTACACCCATGAAAAAGTAATCAAACTGACAATTTCTTCAGCCCGCATTACATTTTTTATGATATCTACTTCAGCTAAATGAATATAATATTCAGTTTATACAGCAAAACATGTGGACATGTTTTCATAACATCAAATTACAATATAATACATTTAAAACAGTAAATATATACATTCAAAATACTTGGAAGATATTAATGTACTTTACATAGGAAATTTGTATGGAAAATTATATTCGTAGACATCAAAGGTAAACACCTATTATAGGTGTGAAGTTAAAAAAAGAATAAAAATCTAACTATAACTAAAAACATTAACCTAGAAGAGAAAATATTATATTCTCTTTACCTGTTGCTATTCGATGAAAAATTACTGGAATTGGCTCTGTAGTAACTAACACATCTTCATCATTTTCTGAGCTTGATACATATGTATTATCTGCAAAGAAATATAGATTATCAGTGGTATAAGCTCAAGTAATATATTTTCCACTTAAAATAAAGGGTATGCTGAAATTACTTTCAAAACTCATCTACCACTATTTTTAAATAAAACTAAGATGTGAATGGTTATCCTGGTGGAGGATGGAGCTTGGAAGTAAGTGGGTCAAGGCACTGGGCTAAGGGTGGGGTCAACACTGTAACTAATGCTTAACTCCACAATAAGGGATTTATCTTTCACTGCTCCACAAATTGCTTGTCTGTCAGATACTCCTCTAAATCTGAACATTCAGATTAAGACAGACTAGGAA